ATCAGGGTGAGGGCACGATGCTGGACTCGGTCCAGCTGTGAGAGATGGGTAGCCGCAGCTCCCATCCATACAAGTGGACAGTACTCCATTAGAGGCCGAATGAACCCCCGGTATGCTGTGGCCCGGCCCGGTGGGTCCAGGACATGGCACGCCTTCCGGAAGAAACCAATTCGCTGTGTGGCACGCACTGCAGTTCCTCGAAGATGCTCCGAGTATGTTAGATGGGCATCAAACGTCACTCCAAGGGGCTTCAGCCGCGAGCATTCTGGGACCGCTGTGCCGTTGAACTTGATGGGTGGTGTCTCCCAGGGTCTGTGTTGGCGGGACACAGTCATGGCCTGTGATTTCGTTGGCTCAAAAGTGACGCGCCACTGAGCACCCCATTCAGCAAGTGCATCCACCCCAGCTTGGAGGTTGCGGCACACTTCTGTCACAGCATGTGGCGTTGGGATGTGGGCATAAAGCGTGGTGTCATCTGCGTAAACAGCCGGAGTGATCCCTTCCAGTAGGACGTCGCAGGCGTCATTCACGTACAGCAAAAACAGTGTGGGCCCAAGGATGCTCCCTTGTGGGACCCCAGCATCAATCTTGTATGGTTCTGAAGATGCTCCGCCGACTACTGCCTGCAACTTCCTGTCATACAGGTAGGCAGACAGCCAGTTGAGGAGGGGACCAGTGATGCCATATGACGCAGCCTTGTGGAGCACGCCTCGGTGTGAAACTTTGTCGAATGCTCCTGCTATGTCGACAGCCAGCACGTGGACTGCGCCGCAACGGTTGACTTCGGAGACCCAGGAGTGGTTGAGAGACGTGAGAAGGTCAGATGTGCTGAGCCCCTGCCGGAATCCGTACTGGTGGATGGACAGAGCCTTTTCAAGCTCAAGATGATTGATTATGGCAGTGTAGACAATCTTCTCCATGACTTTGGAGACAACAGATAACAAGGACACAGGTCGGTAGTTCTTAACAGCAGAATGAGATTGCTTCTTGTGTATTGGGACCACACGGGCTACTTTCCAGAGAGAGGGCTGGACATGACACCGAAAACAGAGTGAGAACAGCTTGGCAAGTGGTGCAGCCAAAACGTTTGAGCACTGCTTAAGAACTCTGGCAGGGATGCCATCGGGTCCGGTAGCCTTGGTTGGATCCAGCTGGCGGAGCTGGCGCTGGACTGTCGCTTCCCGAAATCGGACAGTTGTCAGGGCAGATGTACACCTAGGAGGAAGGTCAGGAAGGTCGGAGTGCTGTAGATCTTGATCACCCAGACTGCATTTGCTTGCAAAGAATTCTCCAAAGCAAGTAGCCTTTTCCTGGTTGGTGACATATTCTCTACCCTGGGCATTGCGTAGGACAGGGATAGACGAGCTGCGGCCAGAGCCTGCAGCTTGCTTCAGGAGTGACCACCATTGTTTGTTTCGCAGTGACCCATGTTTGAGCCGATCTCGGATGCGGGCAGATTCTGCCTGCTTTGCGAGACGAAGGCAATTGGCAGAGGCTCGGACTTTGGCATTGTAGTCAATAAGTTGCTGGTGGCAGGTGGGGTGTCTCCTGAGACGGTTCCATGCATTCTTCTTTGCCTGGGTAGCGGCTGAGCATTCCGGCGTCCACCAGGATGGATCTGTTGGTTTCGTCGAAAGTTCTTTGTGTGGAATGAAGCGATTCATGCCTTCCATGACAACAGCAGTTACTGATCTGCACGACGCCTCGGGGTCTTCTGATATATCCCAGTTTGCTGTTGAGTAGAAGTGCCGAAGCCGGCCCCAGTCTGCCTGAGCATACCTCCAAACGCGCCGTTTAGTCGGTGGTTCGTGGAGTGGGGTGGCAAAAAAAAAAAAAGTGGCCACAACGGTGGCATGGTCTGATGCTCCAATGGGGTCCAGTACATTTACCACCACTGAGGTCTCCGAGAAGTCGCTGAGTATGAGGTCCAGGGTGTTCTCACCCCGCGTCGGTTGAGTAACGTGCTGGTGGAGCCCGTGGAACGCAGAGAGTTCTTCCATGTATTCACCAGCCGGTGTAGTCTTTGTGCTGTATAGCCAGCTTTCATTATGAACATTTACGTCCCCGGCTATCACGACGCTGTTCCCGAGGGATCGAGCTTGATCCATGACTGAGTCAAGATACTGTCCTCTTTCTTCATTTTCCCTTCTGGTTCAGTCATTACACGTATTAATTTATATTATTTGGTGCAATACTAGCGCCCCTTTCTCGCACCAAATTATTATTTTTGCTACCTGACCATGCACCCCCCCCTTTTTTTCGATGCCAGGTTGCAACGCTAACACCGAGACCCCTGGTCGGTCGAGTTGCTCCCTGTACATCGGCACGTCGTCCCTACATCCCCTGTGTCTTGTCTTGTGTTTGTCTCCACATGTCTCTTTGTAGGGCTGTGTTCCCAATAAAAAATAAATAAATAAATAAAAATAAATAAAAAAAATACTCAAGCGGAGAGAAATCTTGTCCAGGGCACGACCCGGGTCGGTACACTGCACATACAACTACTTTCTGGCCATTGTCCAGGTGCAGGCGCAGCCAGATGACCTCATGGCCATGGCAGTTGATGTCACTCAGGTGGTCAAAGGAGAGGGAGTCCCGGACCCAGACTGCAACTCCGCCACCTTGAGCAGATCGGTCAAGTCGGAGGGGTGGGTGGAAGCCCGGCATGGAGGAGTCAGATAGTGAGGCTTTCTCCGGGGTGAGTTTAGTCTCTGTTACGATGGCGATGTCAGATCTGCTTCGTGCAACAGCATGCTGGAAGGCTCCAAACTTTGACATGTCTGAAAATACCAAAGTATGTGTGCAAGTTGTTCTCTCCGATTTCGCTCAAAATTTGCAGGTAGGTTCCCTTTGGGGTGTGGATCGATTGTGCAAAGCCCTTGAAAAAGTTTCTGAAGGGAACCTTGCAATTTGCATACCCCTCAAAAATGGCCGAAATATCACATTATTTATGGGTCTAGAAACGAGTCACGCCACAGCGTATACGAACAAGCTATGAACAAAACTCCATCAAGCCAACATTGCCTCACCTTAGAAGAGTTCCTGTAGCAGTACCACTTAGCCACGCCAGGATCCCAGAAGACGAGGTCAATCACCCCCTGACGCCACAAATGATCGTCTTGAAAATAGCCAATTTACAAGCGCTGGCAAAACAGCCAGCTACGTCCTCAATTAGCCAGAACTATACACCGGCAGATAGTAGAACACCACTTCTAGCGCTGAGGACATGTCCCTCATCTTCCTTTTGGGGTTTTCTTGAAATAAACCTTTTTGAATTTTTCCACTCGACCATGCTGAAATACGGCCAAAGTCATACCTGCGCAGGTAAGCTCTCCCCTCCGCGACGTCTCCTCAGCAATTTATACTCCAACACTACTCCCAAGGCCGCAGAACAAAGTGTATTGTTGACTCTGACAATGAAAAGCAGCGGTGATCACTTGTCACTCCAAATGACAAGCTTCTCCTTGCGCCACCAATAATATTTTGTGCGACTGTTGATGCAAAAGTGACTGAAGTCCTGAGCGCAGTTTTTGAATTTTATTGCAAGCTGCACGGTGAGATCGCGTGCTCTGTGACGTAGGATAGCGCTTCATGGATCACGACACGCGCCCATCGATCGCGAACGTGTCTGGAACGCTACTCGGAACAGACCATGATGGCAGAGGTAAGATGAGCTGCATTTCCTGCTTGATCTGCTGAGAACCCCCACAAACTGTCCTAGGAGTGTTGCAATGGCAGCAAGCCGTTGAAATATGCCCCTCGTACAGCATGGAGAGTTATTCATCTTTCACACTTACCTCCTGCAATCCCGAACATAGTCCAACAGTAAAAGTCCCTTGTTTTCATGTCGATGCTCGGCGAAAGCTGCTAGCTCGGTCGCTTTGTGTTGACTGGCACGCGAGCAGCACTGGCTGCACGCACTTGTCGCGTGAACTGCATGACAGATTCCTTACGTCATAAAGAATGTGATTTCATCATCATTTCACTGGTCTTCGACCTACATGGTCAGGGAAAGTCCCAGTTCGTAGGCCTACAACACGGTCAGCGTGTTCTTGACCGGATAGCTGAAGTACAAGAGTATTCAGCTGGCAGCCAGTGGAACCACGTTCCTGGAAAGCTGAACCCAGCCGACAAGGGCACCAGAGGCTTGACAGCAGCCCAGCTAGCCAGTGATTCAGTATGGTGGAACGGCCCTGAGTTCCTCGTCCAGCAGCACACTGAGTGGCCGTCTCGTCAGATAACCGTGCCAAAGGAGTTGTCGGGAATGGTAAAGCGAGCGCAGGTGATGGCGTTCGCTGTGCTGCAAGTGTCAGCGGAGGCGTTTCGTCTCCACCCCGACAACTACTCCTCATGGAAACGGCTAGTGAGAGTGACGGCCTTGTGCTACCGTTTCATCAACCGGTGTCGTCGACGTCATGCTAGCACGAGAGGGATCCGGAAGCAGCGAGTGCAGCAGTCGACTCTGTGGAGCTGAAGTCTGATGAGCTCCAGCGTGCCGAATGTCACTGGTATGCGATCGCACAAGCAGAGAGCTATCCCGCTTCGTATCGGCAGCTGACGTCAGGGAAGTCCCTTGCAGCGAATGACCCGCTGCTACGACTGAATCCAGTGCTCGACAAGGATTACCCGTGTGTGCTACGCGTTGGAGGTCGTCTGAAGACTGCCAGCCACTTGCCTGAGCATACCCGGCATCCGATAATCTTGCCACAGCACCATCGGATTACTCAGCTGATAGTCGACGCCGAAGATCGCAAGTGTGATCACAGTGTTGGCCCAAACCACCTCTTGGCAAATCTGATGCTGCGGTTTTGGATCATCCGTGGCAGGGTTGTCACACGATCTCACCGTGCACACTGCGTGCTCTGCAAGAAGAAGTGGGCCACTGTGGCTTCGCAGCAGATAGCACCGCTCCCGCTATTCCGAACAGCTCCACCGTACCGGGCATTTTCAAGAGGTACCTCTGTGTCTTCTCTTGTTTGCAATCTCGAGCCTGTCATTTCGAGATGGCGTATGGCCTGGACACCGAGTCGTTTCTGCTAGCATTCACCCGTTTCTGCAAGCGCAGAGGTGTGCCAGCTGAGGTCGTGTCAGACAACGGGACGAACTTTGTCGGTGCAGAGGGAGAGCTAAGAGAACCCGTTCAAGCGCTAGGTTCTGATGAAGTGGCCGCAAGTATGGCCAGCCAAGGAGTTCATTGGCGCTTCAATCCGCCTCTCGCTCCGCACTTTGGCGGCGTATTTGAGTGTGTGGTCAAGGCAGCAAAGCGCGCAATGATGGCAACTCTGTCCCAGGCCAATCTCACTGATGAGGAACTTGTAACTGCCATGGTGAGTGCGGAAGGCCTGCTCAGCTCGCGTCCGTTGACCGCTGTCCGGACTGAAGTGGATGACGCTGCACCGCTAACACCGATGCACTTCCTAGCTGGACAGTGCGAGCTGACTCTGCCACTCGAAGAAGTCGCTGAGTTGCACCCACAGCGTCGTTGGCGGCTCCTCCAACAGCTCCTACGCGAGGTATGGCGGCGATGGCTTCGAGAAATAGTGCCTCGGCTGAATGTGCTTCAGCGATGGTCTCGACGCAGCCGCAACATCAAGCCCGGTGACATTTTCCTCTGCATGGACAAGTCTACTCCAAGAGGGCGTTGGCCGCTAGCCAAAGTGATGGAAGTGTTCGCCGGATGTGATGGATTGGTCCGTGTAGTGAACATCAGAATTGGCGCCAAGCAGTCCAAGCGGCCGATAACGCAGTTGGTGCCGTTGGAAGTTGAACCCATCGATGAAGGTACCGGTCAGTATGATGATCTCACGACTTCCGATTAGTCTGGAGTCGTTCGTGAGAGGGGAAATTTTGGAACGTTCTCCATTTGTTAGTGTTTGTCTTCGTTTAACATGTGTATTACTCAGTATGTCGTAATAGGACACTGCTCGATTATTCTTACCTTGTGCGTTTCACTATTTGTAACGTGGCTCCTCTGCTTCAGTTTTCGTTCTATCTCTCTGGCAGGGGCAACCACCACCCGTCTGGTGGGTGCCAGCATCCTCCGGCAGTTGCGCTGGGACTCTACGATACATTCTTGTTCTTCGATAATTAGAAATCTGCCTTTCTAGTTCTTCGCTGTTTGAATTATTATTTATTTGTGTTGTTTCTTGCGGCACTCGCTTTTGTGTAGATTTGACCTTTTTTGCATGTCCGCGTGAGTACAGATGACATCATGCATTATTTTCTGTCACGTGTTTTGCTTTGAGCGTGTCGTTCAAGATGTTTGAACTGCGCCCCCTGGCCGATTTTCGTTGCTTGCTGTTTTCTTTGCCAGTCAAGCGGGGGGGGGGACGCTACGGTGTCGTCCTTCTTGGCTGTGTGTCCGGTACGGGGCCGGGTACGTGCGTCCCCAGCTCTCCGTTCTTTGTTCTTTTTTGAGTTAGATTCTTCAATGGTGTTTTTTTGAGAACATGTTTGGTAATACAGTCTCCTAAATAGTTCGATGCTTCCAATGGTTGTGTCTGATCCAAGTGTGGGTTTGCGAGGGAACCGGTGAACCATCGCCAGAACGATGAAGAACTGTTCTGACTTGAACAGAGCTGGAGAGTCAATAAATATTTACATGATCAAGGAGCCAGTGAGCTACGAATTAGCTGCGGCGACGGAGTGGCCTGGACCTGGGCAGCGTTCTTTTTAGGTGCTGCATGGCGATTGCCTTAAGCCATTTCACGGGCTCAGGAATCTGCCAGAACCGCCTCTCTAGAGAGTTGTACTCGGCGTGTATGCTCTCTGAGCCTTGCTCAGCTAGCAAGCCAAGGCCAACACGGAGTCGCGTCATAGCTGGCACGACATGAAGCTCTAACAGGTGCAGCTTGGGTGTTACGTGCCCCTTCTGCCTGCTCACAATCTCATCTCGTACGAGCTTCATGAAGTGCTTGATGTTGCTGCTCAGCTCTGCTATCTCCTCATCATTTACCTGCAGAACACCATGGATTTGAATAAACAGTGTTAGTCTGAATTTCTGTGAGACAGAGTCGGCAACAATCCGCCTTCTGAAATCATCAGTGTCGCCAGCATGCCTGATCTCAGATAGTATAGTATTAAGCATGCGAGCACATCCATTCGCACTTCAATATTCTAGGACAAGCAGGCAATGCGTATCAGTATCTGTGCTAGAGGCTGTATACATGCATTGCTAAACTGAGGAATGAACTATGTTTGTGCACAATAAGTACACATCATGTATGCGGAACTTACCGTGCGGAAATCGCCAAATGCAACTGAGCACTTGCTGTAGCCATGGAACAGGTTGTAAAACCGTGTTCTGAGAGCCTGTGTATCAGCCAGCAGATTCGGACATCTGGCTTCAATAATGGCTACAGGCGCAGACGTGATGTTGTTCGATGATGGCTCCTTCAGACCCTGATGGACATGATTGCCAACAAACGCCCCGCCGTGATATGCCTGACGCATCATTTTGGCTGCCTGCAGAGCTGCTTCAACACTGCGCTCGCATGGGCCAGCAACAGACTTTCCGCCAGACTCTTTGTCGAACTGCTGCTGAACGCTCTTGAGCTGCTGCGCAGCGTCAGTCTGTGCGCGCAAAGCTGCCTGCCAGTCCTGCTGAATTTGGTCACATACCACCTCCAGGTTGTGGCCAGTGACCCCTTGCTCATGGCCGTGCAGAGCCACACAGCTGAGGTGGCCTTGAATGGTTGTGGCCTTCTGTATGGCTGCTTCGGCTTCGACTGTGCAATGCTGCAGCTTGGCATGCAGCGCGGCCAATGCTGTGGACTGCGTGCTGTCGGTAGTTGAGGCTGGCGTTTTGCTGATCAAGCTCTTATCAAGCTGGCGCACCTCTGCCAGCATTGCCTCGTATATCCAGGAATAGATCCCCAAGTCTGGATGCAACACTGGCAGAATGGCATGGCTGATCTCTACGGGCAGAATTGGGGCCCGGATAACGTTGTTGTACGTTTTAGCGAGCGACAGCCGCGAACCAGCCGCAAGGAAAGCGCTAAGATCGTCCTTGAGGGTCTGCAAGGTACGTGGCTGTTTCTCCTCGTCTGACACTTCAGCAGGCGGTACATCCATCATCTTCTTCAGACAGTGGCAGTGCAAGCAGGGCCGCACTCCACTTGAGCCCGACAGTCCGTAGTTGGTGGTTTCAAACTCATAGTCCCCAAACAAAAAGATGACGAATGTTTTGCCGTTCCACTGAGCACTCTCCGCGACACTCTGAATTTGTTCTCAGTAGACTATTGGTGCTTATTTTATATTTTAAATAACTCCATGCATTACATTTTCAAGTCATCAGTGTGTGGCACCGAGGTGATGAAAATGCTTATCTTGCTTTTTCAGACTCTGTCTTACCTAGAGAAGTCTCCAAATTTGCCGGAGTGTCCTTGGCTTGGAAGATGCGCAGCTGAGTGGTGTGGTCAAGTGAATTTGGGTGTCGGACGTTGGCAATCTGTCCAAAGCATCACGCAGAACACATTGCATACCGACGGTGTCTGAGTGTGCTGCAATCCTTGTGATTTACTTCATAGGAAGACTGCTGTACATACAGCATAATTTGCCTTCAATCTCATCATATTAGATTGTTGAAATTCTTGGAGTAATTGCCTGATGTGGATAATAGTGCTTGACAGATTACCGGCATCACGAATTTCAAGGAGCCTCCTCCCTTATCTCCTCCGATCTCTACGTAGATCTTGTCCGGTGGTATGGCATTGCCCTGCCAGGTCAGCATGTTGTTGGTTTCGTACAACTGCAGGTACTGCTTGACCATGGCGAGAAGATCGGGCAGGTATACAATGGTGGTGTCTTCTATGGCACCGGTCTTGTGTTGAATCATCTTTACTGTGGATGCCACGTATTCTGGCAAGACACTGGACAATGTGGACCGAAGAGACTTCTCGCACTCAAGCTTGAATCCACAGGACGATGACAAAATGAATTGCAGCTTGCGTAGCTGATTCCAGGGCAATTTCAAGTCGGCTATAATTGCCAATGCCAGGCCAGGTGGTGGAGACAACGGCTCTACACGAGCTGTTTGCAGAAGATCTGTTTGCTGTGCCTTGGGCATAGCTGCAAGATTTTCTGCAGTCTGCGCCTCTCGCCCAGGTGCGCCAACACAAATAGTCTCACCTGCATGCGCACACACAGTTGGAAGGCATTATTGAGTTGGTGTGCATTCTTTAATAGTAACGTCTGTTGCTGCCATGCGTAGCGACTACTACCTCCGACAAGCGAAACTTGGCGCGTTTTTCACTTCAAATTACACGAAATAACTCACACTTTACAATCAAGTCTAATGATTGACTCACCAAAATACAACTTTGTATTGCTCAACAAGGACATTAGAGACATCAGTTAGGCTGAATCACTCTCCTCTGATTCAGATATCGCAGTTTCTTCTAGAGAGGAATTGTCCCTGTTTTCAGACTCAAGAGCGACTAGAGCGGATTCAGTTGCAGCAAGTATCTCTGTTGTGATCGCTCTGGAAATCGCGATGTCGCTCCTGTGCTCAAGCCACGGTGTCGAGGGTCGTCATTTCTACCGCCAATATCTGGGTTGACGTGGTGAGAACTGTGCAACACCTCCACACGCGCCTGGACTGCAACATGTTTGCTGGGTATTCTCGCCAACTGTCCAAAATTGTAGGCAGCAATTCCTGGCGCTTTTCCTTAGCCTCCAGAGAAGCATTGCTCTGAAGGCTATTGAACGACGCTAGGATTATTTGGCATGGAAGTATGGACTCTGTGCTGGCTGAGTGATCAAGTGAAGAGAGAGAGAGAACTCCTTGGTTTTGCATTGAAACGCGAAATAAGAACGATTCTCCTTCGCAGAATAGACGCGCGGCGCGCGCGCACTGTTGTGCTGGTACACGAGAGACTGGCCTGCTTCTGACTAGTCGAGCCATGTGCCACTCACCAGCTCGTCGCTTGGCTTCCTGCACCCGGTTGCATGGAGGGTACAAGTAGGTCGCGTACCTCACTGCCTTGTGAAGTAACTTGTGGTACCAACACAAATAAAAATCAAAAAAACGCGCCAAGTTTCGCTTGTCGGAGGTAGTAGTAATTCTGTGCATGATTTCATGGTTGAAGTTGATACCGTGCACGACGGTCTTGGCGAAAATGAATACCGGTATATGAACTACTAGTACCGATAATACTGTGCATCATTTCATGGTTGATACCGTGCACGACGGTATTGGCAAAATCAGTGCGCATGTACTTACTTATGGCATGCAATTCAGATGCCCTCCTTCGTTTCGTGCGGTCGCTCGCATTCGACGAAGACACCTCTCCCACCGGTATTTTTCTGTATACATGTGGCTTTCCATGGGCAGTAGCACGAACTTCGAGCGACCCATAATGTTCTCTAGCCTTCACTAGGTGCCCCACCAATCTGTCTGCAACATCCCCTTGTAGCTTAGATGGTGAGGCACCAAGGATTTGGGCAACGGTTGCGCCCGGCGTGAGGGACTGGGTGAGCGGCGGAGTTTTCGGTCGAAGGACGGTGGTGGTTGTTGCTTAACGCTGTGCAGTTGTGGTAGTGGTAGCAGCAGCAGCAGCAGTGGTTATGGTGATAGTAGGTGTTGCACTTTGTGTATTCTTTGTGTATTCGGTGTCATGGCAATAGAACTTTTTGGTGAAGGTTTCTTACTCTTAAGGAAGACGCCACTATATTCACGACCAGGCTTCCGCTTAGGGGACCTGCCACCCATGAATCTCTTCCCGTATTTAATGCATATGGCACACTGCGTACCTGTGTGAGGCGTCCAGGCAACGCTTTTCCCACAACCTCCGCCACAGAATTTGCCACCACTTGCTAC